GCAGCCAGCTGGAACAGCTGGAGCTGCAGAGGAGCTGGAAGCCCCGCAAGAAGAGCACGGAGAGCTGGAGGTGGCAGGCAAACGGCCGGAGGTTGAGCAGGGGCATGTACTGCACGTACTCCAGCGTGTACGGCACGTGCAAGACTTGCCTCTGCAGCAGGTTTTCAACCACGTGCGTGAGCCTCTTCCACTCACTGTGGCTGCACCAAGGGAAGACCTGAAGCTGCAGAGGAGCTGGAAGCCCCGCAAGAAGAGCACGGAGAGCTGGAGGTGGCAGGCAAACGGCCGGAGGTTGAGCAGGGGCATGTACTGCACGTACTCCAGCGTGTACGGCACGTGCAAGACTTGCCTCTGCAGCAGGTTTTCAACCACGTGCGTGAGCCTCTTCCACTCACTGTGGCTGCACCAAGGGAAGACCTGAACGAGGGCCACCAGGAACCCTTTGCTGAAGAGATTCACTTCTTCAGGGTTGTCCACGTTGACCGTGAGGAGCCTCAGCATCATCTCCCTGAGCGCTGTGGACAAGCAGCAGCACTCCATCCATGCCAGGAGGCCGCTGCCCGGTCCATAAGCTGGCAAAGGCTGGGATGTCCACTCTTCCTCAGGAAGCGTGCAGATCTCAAACAGCGTCGCCGGGACCTCATTCTTGAAATGGTCTCCGTAAAGCTTCTTCAGCCGGAGACCGATGGTCCAGTCCAGTGATGCCACCTTCCTGTGAAGCCAAGCCAGCGACTGGACCCACAGCTCAGGAGAGGGGGCGACTTCAGGTCTCACCACCTCACAGAGCTGGCAGAGGATGTTCAGTACCAGGTCTTTGGTCTCCAGCGAAGGGAAGAGCTGGTCCCTGGGCTGATGCCAGTACTTTGTGTAACCATCTAGAAGCTTGCAGAGGCTGAGGAGAAGTGGGAATGGGTGACAGGACTTGATCCAGTGCTCTTCTGAAGGGGTCTGTATCCCCAAAACCTTACTGAGGATCTGCAGGCTCAGTTCAATTTGAGCAGAGTCTGACTTCAAACAGGGAAGGACAAAGGCTTTGGTGACCTCTGCAGGTGACACAAGTGGGGTGGCTGAGCTTGGCTGCATGAGAAAGGTCAGGAACTCAAGGAACTGCTCCTCTTCCCTCGCAGTGGAAAACCTCCCCCATACTGCCTCCTCCAGACACCTCACCACCAGGCTGCCGGGCCTGCCTGGATCATCGTTGGTCTCCAAGAAGCTCAGCGCTGGGAAGGAGCAGAGGATTTGTGCAAGGAACTGGTGTGCTCCCAGGTTGATGACAGCGAGATTACAAATCCGCTTCACCGTAGCCTCAGGGTACAGCAGTGTGAGCCTGGCCACAGAAGCCACAGCCCTGGTCAGGCCTTCATCAGACACGCTCTTCGTGATCTGGTTGAAAGTCACATTCAGATCCTCCTGGAACCCCTCCATGACAACCTCCAAGTTCGAGGACAGACCTGGTCCACCCCAGGATGCCAGGACACCTGAGATCACTTTGTTTTTGTCAGTTAGTGACAGCTCAGTGTAACACTCCACGATGGCTTTGGTCACTTGCATCTGCAGCTCTCGGGACTCCTCGTCTTGACGGGACATGGCAAAGTTCACCAGTGTCTCCAGCAATTGCAAAACTAGGTCTGGTTTCTGGAAAAGAGCTTTGCTTTTCACAAGACAGTCAACCCAGTCCTTCGAAAAGGCCCAGGTCTTTTCAGAAGCAAAAATGTAGCACACCTCCACATGCCGATCCAGCTTTTGCTCAACGATTGTCATGGCAACTGAAGACAGAAGGCTGGTGTCAGAATCCTTGCTCTTCAGGCTGACGCTGATCTCCTTGAGAAAGTCCTTGGTGATCTCTGTCAGCTCTAACACTACGTGTGCCTCGTCCTCACCCCGGTTTCCAGTCTCTGAGAAGCGAACTAGGTTCTTCCTGAAGGTGGTAAGAGCGTCCAGGAGCCGGTAGCTCTCATAGCAGAGCTCCTCAGAGCTATTCAGGGTGCCCTGCAGCTCCTCTCCCCAGGCATGCAACAAGCTGCAGAGAAAGTTTAAGCCAACAAAGAGCTCCTCATGAGAGAGCTTGGCCACGGGCAGGAGGCTCACACTTCTCTCTGCTTCCTTCACCTTCTCATCCAGCCCGCTGTGGTGGTACCCGCTTTCAGTGTCACTGGTCCAGAGGCTGACCACAGAGCTGACCTTCTCCAGGTACTCAGCGACAGGAAGTGGGCTGCCTTCTGACCCCAGCTCGCTGAACAGGGTCAGTAGCTCCACCAGGTTGGCCAAGGCATAGCACCTCATACGGGGCAGAATGATGCTCCTGTAGGTTTGCTTTAACCCCTCTATCAGCACCATGAGCAGGCTGGTGGCAGCAGAGGGGTCATTTGCAGAGCCAGAGTCACCCTTGAACCTCTTTGGGGGCTGGAGACCATCGTCCAGAGAGGACTCGCACCCATGCTGACGTATGAGAGAGCTGAACGTGGAGACTGTTGAGTCTTCCTGCCCTTCCTTGTGTTTCATCACCTCCCACCACACGTCCAAGAAGAACCTGACGTCTGACGGGGATGTCTCACTGGCGATGTACTCCACCAAGTGCTCCAGCTGGCTCTGGCGCACATCCCAGGGCAGTGCCAGCAGCAGCTGCACCAAGAGCCGGGGCGCACCGAGGGCCTTGACCAGCTCGAAGAGGACGGTGTGGTTAACGTCGGGGATCATCCTGCCCATGGAGAAGAAGTCATCCTCCTTCCACTCCTGGTCCAGCGAGGCGGCCGGCGGGCATGGCAGCAGCACTTTCGCCCAGACGATGGCCA